TCACAGGTCTCCCTTCAACCCCTAAACCCCTGGCAACCAGATAATTTCCATATGTAAACCTTCTTACTTCCATCCAGAGTAGCCCAAAGGAGGTTTTTCTTGTTTCTTTTATTTCCTTTGTGGATCTGAATCTCTAACCATCATGGCACAGTAGTTTCCATTAAACATCTGGAGTGGAGAGACAGGTAAAAAGTAGTCTGAGGGCACTCAGTGGAAGGCAGGGGCTTTTGAAGTCAGGCCACAGGCTTCAGCTCAGCAGATCTGAATTTAATACGTTTGCACTTCTGCTACAGACTTCCTTTGAGACCCTTGGCAACGCATGCCCTTTCACTACGCCTTCAAGCTCTGAAGTATCTATGTTAGAGACCATAACCCATCTGGGCAAGGAATCTCTCCCGTGTCCATGTACAGCATCTGCCACAATGAGGCGTCAACCTGGGCTGAGACCTGGTGAAGCTACTTCCATGTAACCCCTGGGTGAACTTCTCGTGTAAGGTATTGGCAAGCTGCTCCCTTGCAGCACACTGCGTTGCAAAGCCCAGTGCCTGGATTTCCGGGCTCCTGGAGCTGCTACTTCCTAATGATGTACGCATAATAATTTGGAAGTCATCTTTGTGAAGCATATTTCCTTGTGAGAAACGGAGAAATTTTCCACTGTGTGTTTAACTGTTGGGTTTTTTTTTTTTAATTAAAAAAAAAATGACTTGACAAGACTCTACTTCTCAGCATCCAACGGCAATGACATCTGAATCTCAGGCAAGTGCCTCCATCTCTTTTTCTTATTCAGCTGCTCTGAGCATCTCTGCCTCAGACTGGCCAATTTTCTCCTCTCGCAAGGTGATACTGTGTTTCCCCACTGTACTCGCCCTTACCCCAGGGCCCTGTCCCAGGCTGTGAGGAGTCACAAGGAGGAGACATATGGCCTGAACATTTGCTGCTCTGGAGACAGGACAGGCTACTGCAACACACCGAGGCTGCTGTGGGTCACAGTGTGCGTGGCGTGAGCTGTCCCTGCACGTGTGCAGTGCACGATGTTTGTGTAGCACACGACTCGGAGCGCTGACCGCAGTGCAGCAAAGCAGGGAAAGCCACTGCGAACCTGCCCTCTCTTAGTGATGCTGTTTCTGTGTACAGGCTGCTCAGGGTTTGGAGAAAAGCTGTGCCAGGGTGGCAGGAGGGGACGGAGAGTAGTAGCAGCAGTAGAGGGAGAAAATTAAATTTTCATCAGAGTGAATTCCTCCCTCTGAAGAGCAGACTGAGGGAGCAACTCTCACCTTCAGCATGTTTCATAGGGCAGGCTAATCATGGGGGACAGGAACAGGACAGTGGATATTTCTCTCCCCCTGCTCTACCATTTGATCTTGGATTAGTTCCTTCATTTCTTGTTGTATGAGTTCCCTTTTTCTATAATGACAGGATAGGAATACCCTCCTTTGTGAAGTCCTTTGATATCTGAGGAGGAAAAACATCATATAGAAGTTACAGATTATTAGCTTTATTAGCGTCACAGCCCTCTTCCTCTTGGACAAAGTCTCTCATTTGTACAAAGAACATCACTGTTGAATAACTCTCTCTGGTGTCACACTGAACTATATCTGCTTTCATTGTACAGAAAGAAAGAGAGTTGTGTTCCTTCATTCAAGGACTTGTTAAACTTCTCAATGTGTGTCCTGGCAAGGCATCACGAAGAAGTGGGTACAAGGGTAAATGAGAATAATGACAATCTTTTTCTTTGGCTGCTGTCTCAGTGGATTTGTGTTCCCAGAGTTTCAGCAATTTCCAAGTAAAAAAAAAAAAAAAAAAAAAAAAAAAATCAGTTTATGGTTTTCTCGATTTCATCCAAGTTTCCTCAGAACTGAGGCCAGGTACATTCCAGATGAAGGGATCATTTTTGACCAAACTGCTCAGTTTCAAGTGTGTAACATTCATTCCATGCAATTTTGTGTTTCAGCTGAGCACATTTCACACAGCTCTGCTCAGGACTAGGGCTCTTGTTTTCCGCCAGTTCCTAGAGGACAACATAGTGCCAGTGCTTCCAGCCTCACTTGCCTGACCGTCTCATACACATGTGAGCAGCTTCTCTCTGTATTAAGCACTGCTAGAGTACTGCTCGAGCTGCAGTGGAAATCTCCGTGACACTGTTTCCTGATGCAACCCTGATACATTTTGCATGGATGTAGAACCCAACATTTTTGAAATAAGAGTTAGCAGGGTCAGAGGTTTTATGGTTCACATGAACGTCTTTTGAAGACTGAAATGCTTTTGTTTTTCACTATGTCAGCTGTGTGCCTCTTGTATCTGGAAGGCAGTCTACAGACCCAGAGTAAGAGAAATCAGCAAACTTTTAGAATCATAGAATCATTTAAGTTGGAAAAGACCCTTAAGACCATTGAGTCCAACCATAAACCTAACACTGCCAAGCCCACCACTAACCATGTCCCCGTGCACCATGTCTACACATCTTTTAAACACCTCCAAGGATGGTGACTCCACCACTTCCCTGGGCAGCCTGTTCCAGTGCTTGATAACCCTTCCAGTGAAGAAATTTTCCCCAATATCCAATCTAAACCTCCCCTGGTGCAACCTGAGGCCATTTCCTCTCTTCCTATCACTTGTTAGTTGGGAGAAGAGACCGACCCCCACCTCGCTCCAACCTCCTTTCGGGGGGTTGTAGAGAGCCATCAGGTCTCCCCTCAGCCTCCTTCTCTCCAGGCCAAACAACCCCGGTCCCCTCAGCTGCTCCTCATCAGACTTGTGCTCCAGACCCTTCACCAGCTTCGTTGCCCTTCTCTGGACACGCTCCAGCACCTCAGTGTCTTTCTTGTAGTGAGGGGCCCAGAACTGAACCCGTTATCCGAGGTACGGCCTCACCAGGGCCGAGTACAGGGGGACAATCCCTTCCCTAGTCCTGCTGGCCACACTCTTGCTGACACAAGCCAGGAGGCCGTTGGCCTCCTTGGCCACCTGGGCACACCGCCGGCTCATATTCAGCCGGGTGTGGACCAGCACCCCCAGGGCCTTTTCCTCAGGGCAGCTCTCCAGCCGCTCTGCCCCAAGCCTGTAGCGTTGCGTGGGGTTGTTGTGACCCCAGTGCAGGACCAAGCCCTGAGCCTTGTTGGCTCTAGTGCTGCAGCGAGCTGGAGCTCAAAACTGGTGGCCATGAACTGTCAAGCCAGCCTGGGCCATGACATCCTGGTAAGAGTTTAGTTGAGCTTATTTGAGCTAAATGCAGCTCTTTTCTTAGACTTTGGAAACGATTCAAGAGAGGAACAAATGGGTCCATGTCTTTTATTTCCTTTTCTAGCTACAAAGAAAGCCTGAAAGAGTTTTTATTTTACAGATATTTTGAGAGAACTTTTCAACAGATACTTCATAAATGAAAAATTCAGAACTTGTCTCTACTGTTTTTCCTGATAGACTCTCTGGACAGCTTGAGAACTAACAGGATTATGATATCTATGATAAAGGTAATAGCATGAATAGCTGAGAGAGGAAGTAAATTTTATCCAGGCTGTTTAAAATGCTGGGTTTTGTTAGTACATGTTTAATGCAACCTCCCCCTGTAGAGAGCTGGAGAAAAAAATATCAATTTGCTGAAGATTCACCTCAGTCTGCTCTATACAGCAAATACCACAGATATCCATGCAGTTTCACAAGAAAAAAGCAGTGAAGATGAGCCTTGATCTTTCTGACATTTCAAAAGTTAAACACAAGAAGAGAATGGAGACTTTCTGAGAGGGAGAAAAAGTCCCACTTTGGCCTTTTTTTATGTGTCTCAATAAGAAACAAGAAGAGCACAGACTCATCTTGTACTTCCTTTTGCCATTTCACCTATGTGCTTCTCCTTACAGCTCAGGAAATGTCAGAAATGAGCCACAGTCAAGGCAGAAGTTTCTGGCTGAAGAGTCACCAAGCAGCAAGCTGTATGCCTCCCCCTCAGCCTTGAGAAGCCAACCTTGCAACTGATTCTGGGCTTGAAAGGTCCTGGAATGTTTAAAGTAATGAAATAAAACAAAAACAGCAATTTCTCCGACAGCAGGGTTTTCTGGGAGCACTGAAAGTCCTGAACAAAGGTGTATCATCCAAACAATCATTTCTACCAATTGCTTTGCATATCTTGTACAAAATGACACAAAGGGAAAGCTTTGCCAGATGTTGCCTTACAGTGTTTTACCAAGGGTGAGAAGTAGTCAGATTTCTGCCTTACATCCTGCAGGAACTAGCAGTCTTGTGGAGAATTAAATCAGGGAATACAAGAAAAGGAGGATGTCTTCTGCTCAAACAAGCAGAATCCTGCAGATTTTATCCACAGTTCTGTTACAGAGTAACACAGAAGACCTGAACATGTCATCTGGGTTCCATAAGGCAAGCTTTTCAGCTATTTGCATTTGCTTTTTCCAGGTTCCTCACTTGCCACCCCAAGATTTGATCAGCAGGAGGGTGGACTCTAGCAGCAGTAACAGAAGCCAGTGGAAGTCTGCTTTGGTATTGTCAGAAGAAACAACATAATTTAAAAGCAAACAAAGAAACAAAAAAACTGTCTAAGCATCTCATTTTGGACCACAGAAACAAATACACTCCTGAGCTTAACCTGCCAGACCATCTGTCCAAGCCCTTCAACTAAAAAATGAGATACAGTGATCACCTCCTTGCTCAGAGCTGTGAGAAAGTATTAATTAATAGTTATGAGGCATGAGGGTAGGTTATTTATTCAAGTATGTTTAGAAGAAAGATATTCACAGTCAACAATCCTAAGCCCACTGTTGCCATAAAGAGGTTAATTACCTTCGTGCCTGCTTTCAGTCAAAATCCAGTCAGATGTATACAGATATCCCACAGAGATGCTGATAGCAAGCACACTTGTTAAGGTACAGTTTACTATGATGTATAGGGTTCAGTGTAAAGTCACAAATGCAGAGTCACATGTGTATGGCAGCGGGAGGATGTGGAAGAAAACATAATGCATGGGCAACTGGTCAGAAAAGAATGGAAAATAATACCTGGTCCATCACAGAGATGTTTAAGTCTCCAAGAAAGCCAAGCAACCCATATTTTATTGAAGAATGATCAGGGTCCTGCCTGGATAGAAAAGAAATAAAGTAGTTTTAGAGAGAGGGATCACACCTGCCTGTAACCCCTGGAAGGCTTCAAGGGGAGACCAGGCTTGAGAGCTGCCATGATCTGCCCTGCTGAGTACAATGACAGGCTACAGGTGAGATGAAAGGCGTACGGACAGAGACCCCCCTGCCAGGGGAGCATGGAACGGCTGCAATGAATGGCTGGGAGAAAGGCAGAGAGAAATGGAGGGAGGTCCTCCCTATTAAATCTCAAATGTTTTTTTTCCTTCAATTGCTTCACCTTCACCTTTTATAAATTTTGTGACAACATTACCTATTTGATATTCCATGAATAAATACTTCTATTTGTAACTAATCTTATCCTGGCTTGAGTTAAGAGAGATTTCAAGGCAACTGGATAATAACAAGGCACTTTTCACCCAAGGCTATGCCGATTGATAAAGTGGGATGTCAGGGACACTTTGATGGTCTCCCTTGCCCCCAATGCATTCTCCACATTGTGCCCCCAGAGGATCCATATAAGCCAGTTCACAGAGAAAGAAAATAGCTCTTGTTATACCAAATGATATGGCTGGAAAAAACTGACAAGCTTTTGGGCTCAATCATGCTTGTGTGCTTGAAAGCTTGTCTGTTTTTTCCAGCTATATCACTTGGCCTGATCAATAATTTTCCTCCTCCTGTGAACTGTGCCATATTATTAGTCATGTGGTTTTAATCATGTCTTGACCCTCTGTTACACAAGGACAATATGTTTAAAGAGGCTGAGTTAGGACAGAAAAAACAAAGGATAAGAAAAAGCAGCAGCTAATCCCTTATGCTAGTAATATAAGGTAATTACACTTCTGGAGACATCTGAAAACTCTGTAAGCCTCACATTTGATGGGTCAATTTAAGCTAGATTACGATCTTGATTATGACAGTTCTTTCCCTGAGGATAACGCAGCAACTGTGGCTGGTGAACACGCTTCAGTCCATGCCCATTCAAGAAAACATTTAAGGACCCATTCAATTGTAAGCGTTATCCTTATGAAGATAAGCATCTATTTGAGAGCTTTTTTGACCGTGTATGCTCCACCCTAGGAGGGGGTCTCATATTGCTGGTGCAGTTCGCCATACCAGCCAGCCACCACATCACAACTGGGCATCCCCATAAGATGCCCTCTCTTACTGGCTGTCTGAGGGCACCGTCTGGAGACATCCTGGGTTACCCTCTTCAGCAGGCCACTGTTGTGCCCAAAGTGCCACTGGAAGTGTCACTATGGAAGTGTCACTGTGCCATCTCTGCTGCTGCCATCCTGGGGTGTACAGAAATAAGAGCACCTCTTCCTGCCATTTCTGCCTGAAGGGTGTTTGGGATAATATTGTAACTGTCATGTCAGGGAACATAAACACTCCAGATGTAAAATCTTGCAGAATACAGTGATTTGCTTAAATATAAGCAAAAGTGCAAAAAGGTAGGAGACAAAGTGGTGAAAAATGCCTGTATCTTAGTTTTTTCTGACAGGCATTTGACCTGAACAACGATAGAAAATTACTTTGTTCCTCAGTCATGGTGTTTCTTTCTCTGTTCCTCTTTTCTTCCTTGCTATCAAAGAGCTTGCTCTGACTGCCTATTCCCACACGTTAGGAGAAGACCCTCTGTTATGAAAACATTTCTTTGGTCCTCGCACCTGCTAAGATTTCCTGTCCTGTGTGAATTTCCCAGTTTTATACAGCCCATCACCAACATCTTTGCTTTGATGTTGGGCATCTTCCACTTTCCACTTCCCCCTTCTCTCTTGCAGAGAAGTTGGAGGAGCTAAGGAACACTTGCAGCCACCCCCTTCTCCCAAAGTGTTTCCCTTAGGCAGCCCATCAGTGAGGTTTAATGACTGGCACTTGTATAGACGCTGCCAGGCTCACTTTCCATAGCAGAGCAGTTCTGGAAACCAGGGCTCATTGATTGGGACTGAAGCGCCTGCTCCAAAGCTGCGTTTCTGCTTCAAGTAAAGGTATTTGCAGAATGTGCTATGGAGTTTGCTGTCACGCTGGCCCAGCACCTGTTTAGTTCTGTGTTTCATAAATTAAAAGTTATTTTACACAACAGGTAAGATGAGTAAATCAAAGGTAATTTGCAATGCTAAAAGAATCTCTGCAATACTGCGTGCCCAAGGCTGTACCCCAGACCAACTAACTGTCTGGCAATTAATACTTAGAACACCCATGTGTTAGTTTCTGAAGAGTCAAAAGACAGTACAGAAAAGGTAAATGCTTTTCATGGGAAACCCACTATCTAGAGATTAATCTTCCGTAAATACATTCCTTATTCAGGGGAACTACAAAGAATAAAAGAAACAATGATGCGTTTCTGTGGAGGCTGAAGTTAGGTTTTCATTGCCTGTGATCTCCAGGGAGTTCATATTTATTTTGTCGAACATTTTACTAACACTGGGGAAATAATATCTTTTCCTGAAAATTCACCCTTTGTCACGTTGACAAAGCTTTACAAAATGATGAATCACTCTTTAGCAACAGTAGTGCTATTATTCCTCATTTGTAAAGTAAGCAATTTTTTGGTACAAGAATTTCAGACACCTCATAGTGATGTTGCAGTGGGACCTAATGCTTGCATATTTGAGCATATGATAAAAAAAGGGCATGAAGCAATCTAAAAAAAAAAACATGATTCCTGTGGTAAAATTAGGCAATGCTCACACTGATCACTCATACCAGTTGGGCTGCATGTATACTAGATGGTGAGAGCCACATCATTTTAAATAATGGGGAATCACACAGAGGAAGACAGAAGTTCAGCAGGAACCATCTGAGGCTGCAGCAGATGAGGACAGTGGTAGCTGTGCCAGCGCTGTGAGAAGCTCTGGGCTTGGAATAGCAACGGGTATTGAAAGGCATAAATCCAGTGAATTCACATGAGAGTAAAGCAGCGAGCAGAGGGTAGCTGGTTGCCACAGCTCAGTTAGACTTCCCTGCAGCCCCTTCTGAGGTGTCTTATGGAAGGCTAGAAAACTACCATGGCTGAGAAACTAAGTATATGGGTCAAAACTGTCTGAGAGATAGGAAGAAAGAGTAGGAATGAGTGTTTTTTTCCCGTACCTGACAACATAGGTGTGGCGAGGTGTCTAACATGGATGTGAAGCCATATGTAGTTTAATACACATGTTAAAGAAGGGTGAGCTGAGACCTAGCAACTGTGACAGGTATAATAAGGTTAATCTGATCAGTCCAGACCAAGGAATGTCTATGAGGAACTTGCAAAGGGTCCAAGCATAGTCTAAGCAAGGTTCTAGGGAAGCAGACAACACGACAAGCAGCATTCAATACAAGGCTCAGAAGAGTAAGTTACCCCTGCACTTCCCAGTTAGAGGTTAGTTATCTCAGCTCAGGCAAGTGAGCTGGGCCCTGTGCTGGGCAGGCCAAGGAGGTGGTGGCTGCAGTGGCAGCTGCATCCCAGCAAGCCAGCAAGTATGGACAGAGAAGAGCATGATCAAGAGAATGATGTGATGCTTTGATCTTAGTGGGATCGGCCCTGTGGGATACACACCTCATCCCAGTCACTGCATTTCACATGGGTGTTGTGGGACTAAAAGATGGGGAGGAATAGGGGAGGGACAGGGAAAAATCATTAAACTGGTGTCTTAGTAGCAATTTAAAAAAAAACATGAGAATTGACTTGCCAAAAAATAGTAACCTCCTGAATCAAGAAAATGCTAGAGAGGTATGGGTTAACTGTTCACCTTGTCTTTTAGGAACCAAAGGGTAATTTAGTGAAATAGAAGGTGGCCAGTTCAAATCTGACCAGAGGAATGATTCTTGGTGCAACATGTGGTTAGATAATTGATCATTTCCAATGCATACTTCTGGGAGCAAAAACATCAGTTTAAAGGGAGTATTAGACATAAATGTAGATAGCAAGAGGTAAGGAGTATAATTGCTAAACCATAGATACTTTAGGAATTGAGTTAGTAATTATTAGTGGAGAAAATGATAGAACTGCGAGCTGGAACAGGTTATCCCAATGAGTTTACTGTCTATATCTGTTGAAATATAGTCTGGTCATTTCTGGAGGCAGAACACTATACAAAGAGGATACTCAATCTTGTCTGGCCTGACTGTGTTTATGTGACAATATTCCAACACACCTATGAACCCTAGGCCTGAAAGAAAATGAGGGACTGAGGAGTGAGGCTTTTTGGCAGACCAGTTTGTAGTCCAGTAATGAAACAGTGGGGGATACTTCAGGTCAGTCCTGAAGTGCACTATAAGAGCCATCCAGTAATAGAAGTCATCCATTATCACTCAGGCACAAATATTTTGAAAGGAAAAAATCTGGACAGGCTTGGAAAAGCTAGCTGGCTCATTTTTCTGATGAGATTTCCATAGAGAAGCTACAGTATTTGAAAGGTTGCCAATTTTTAAGCAATCCTCTCTCAGCCAATTTCTTTATTTCCCTCCCCACACTACCAAACATGATTGGATCATATTATGAAAGTATCATCTGCCAAATTTCATCTCCAGTTAATCATACTGAACACTGTGACCTTATAAAAGAATCCTAAACTGATTAACCTGTTTACTCTGTGTCTACATACAGAGAAAAAAAACAAAACAAAACAAAACAAAACGTGTCACCAACTTATTTGGAGTACTATTTATTAAGGCATCCTTATTTATGTTTGCCTCCTCTTTATGCAGTTGATACGCAATACTTCAAAGGGAAAGGCTGTAAAAGAAAGCAGTGGTTCCACCTTAGCTGTGATCACATGGAGGAAGGTGATGATATAATACTAAATTCACTCCAGATAGATGGGAATATGCACATCTCTGTCATTTGCATGTTATTGTTCCCATTTGCTTGTTTACACTGTGGCCCATGTGGTTTCTTCTGGTTGGGAAAATCATAAAACATTTAAAGCAGCTCATCTGTGCTGGCCAGTAAGTCTTTACTCTGCTAAAACAGCTGAGAAGGGCTGGCACTGAAGGCCAGATCCTCAAGTGGTACTT